AGGGGCCTGGGAGCAGGAGGGAAGGCGCCAAGGGCAGCATGGGGAAGAGAGCGGACAGGACAGATGGCCAAGGGCAGGGCTCTCTGGGACTGCTGTGCCCAACTTCCTGCCGGCACACCCACAAAGGCACCACTCTCGTCTCGCTCCACACTGCACCCCTCGAGCCCAGCCAAACAGTCCTGCTGTCAGGGCCTCCATGCAGCTGGTGGCCCCCGGCACATGTTCTCCTGGACCAGCTAACACTGCCTGATGGTTCAGGTACAGGGTGGAGGGGCGGGGGGACTCTTCGAGGAAGTCTCTACCCTAACCCCACCAAGTCCAGGTCGCACCTCTCTGATGCTGATGCGGCTCCCTCACCGGCTGCTCCATCCCCATCACTGGACTAGCCCTCTGTAAAGTAACAGGGGGTTTGTCTGTATCTTGCTGTCGCCCAGAAGATTGCCGCGGTTTGAGATGGCCCTCAGCACCTTGTACCATGACTGACACCTAACAGACACTCGGCCGGTGAGCGCAGCATGGCAATACAAAAAGCAAGGACAGCCCAGAGAAATGAAGCCCCGCCAGCTGGTCCTGAACACGTCTCAGATATTCCCTGTGCACGTTTCAGTGCAACTGACCCGCAACCATGCAGAGGCATCAACTCCTGCACACTTGAGAGTTCACATAGTGTTTTACTCACCCCGAACTCCAGTCGTCCCTTGGCATCCACAGAGGACTGGCTTCCAGACTACACCCCACCCCGAAGCTGCAGAACACTCAAGTTCCTTAGAACTGGCCCTCTGTCTGCAGGAATGCTGAACCCACTGATGCAGACTGCATTTAGGAAAAACCATGGGCATAGAGGGCGCTCACTCTGCTCAAGCTGGCAAGGTGAGCCAGGCAAATGAGGCTGCATGTCCACCAGACTCTTCACTCCTGAGTCCCAAGGAGCTGCTGCCACTGAACCATACCAAGCTAAAATGCTCCCTTCTTGAAGAGCCACATCCGAGGACTGGCTAAAGCTGCCTTTACACAGCAGAGCTCTGTCTCAGAGTCTCTGTCCACGCAAGGTAAAGGGTGACGCAATGGGCGCCTCCCAAGTTTTGCTTCCTGGCGTTAACTGCTAAAAAGACGATTCCTTCCTAGAACAGGCCACCCTTGATCTGGCTAAAGTCCCCATTCTCTTTGACCCAGCAAGTCCCAGCTCAAGGAATTTGTCCTATGGACAAAATGGCCATGTGCAAGACGGCATATGTAAAAAGGGCATTTACTACAGCATTAATGAAATAAAAACCATCAGAAACATAAATACCCATCCGTGGCAAAGTGGTTATATAAATTATGACACCTCAACATAATGGAGCACTCATGCAGTCCTAAAGAAAAAAAGATGCAGCGCTTCAGGGACTGATGCCAACCAACTCCCAAGATACAATAAGAACAAACTGCACGGATAGGCTTGTGAAACCCAGAAACACACACATGCTATATGCAATAGTCAGTTTCCCGGAGACAGGCAGGAGGAAAGCAGGTGGGGGAGGAAAGCCAGGTTTAAGGTGAAAACTTCAGTTCTGCAAGATGAGAAGGTTCTGGAGATGGTTGGCAACGGATGCACGATGATGAAAATGTACTTAATGTCGTCAAACCATACACGTAAAAATGGCTACAACAGTCGGTTTAATGCTAGTATCCTTTACCATGACTTAAACATTCCACACACCCCACAAATGTGTAAGCTGACGACAGTGATGGTGGTGGCTGCACCAGGGAGACCCTCTGCCACACCAGCTCTGACGCGGCCTTCTTCATTTTCTGCTAACTATTCAAAGTCACTGCAAAAAACACCAGCCTTTCAGGAGACTAAATCCCAGTCACTTACAGCCCTTCTTCAAGTGAGTGGATATTTTTGACTCACATCGGGATTTCACTTCTGTTTTGAGGTTAAATAATAAAAATTTAAATGATGCAAACTGCACAAGTTACACTTGTTCCCCAAGAATGTTTATCAAGAGTCTGCCTTTATTTTTATCAGCTATTACAGAAAAACTCCAAAATCATCATAGAAGAAAACTAGAGTTTTTATCAGTACGTGACTTTTACTCCATCAACCAAGCTAACTGAACAGAGAACTGTTTCAACAGCAAAATGTACTCGTGGTAATGCAAGACAAAAAACAGCTTGCACTTACAAGAGTCAGGAGACTGTGCTTAGTCGCAGTCTACCCTGAGGCTCTGGCTTGTTTTGTCAGTACTGAAAACACGCCCCACTCTGGGTTCCTCCTCGTTTATCTACAGCCCACTCTTGAAAAGATCCCCTGTTTGTTTTCTTGAGTTTTCTGGAATGAACACTGTCATCACTGGCCTCCCCACCTCTGCAGCCAACCCCAGTAATAAGAAGGTGCACTTGCAGGGCTCAGCACTGCCCTGGCTCACTCGAAGCAGGGGTTCAAATATTAGTTGGGTAAATGAAGAAATGATTATCTGCTGACAGGCTTGCCAGCAGGTGTCAGAAAGAAAAAAAAAATCCAGAAGGAAAAAGCACTACTTTGTTCACTCAAGTCAGCGTATGGTAAAGGTCAAAGCCAGATGACTGGTTTACCACGTGGCTATCAGACAGCTGACGAGGCAGGCGCGAGACGCCACCCGCTCCAAAGTTAAATCCAAAAGCAGAGGACAGACCACCTGTAAGGTCTCAAAAGTGGTGCGTAAATACAGTACATCAACTTTTTTGGGAGGAAAACACAGATGACCATGGCTGTGCCCTTCGAGCAGGAAAGGACTAACTACAAAAGCAAAAGGGGAATCACCCGACGTGTCACCTATCAAAGACAAGCAGAATCACGATATCAAACAAAATGGGGAAACGACCTGCCCGACAAAGAATACACCTAACACGGCAAAGGTGCTGACGACCCACTTAAGGTACATCCTGGGGGGGGGGGCAGTGAAGGCAGGACGCTAGGGCGATTCAGCAAGAGCAAGAACAAAAGCCAGGGATGACTGAGGCTCAGTCTCAAAGGGCAACCTGAGGAGCACCCGTGGCAAAGATGGGCACCCAGTTCTGAGAGGGCATGGGCAGTCGCACTCCTCAGGCTCTCAGGGGCACGGGGCAGCCATCCGTGGGAGGGGGATGTGCTGGCACCCCCCAGCAGCTCCAAATCTAGGCAGCCGCTCTTCCGCAAGACCGGCCGGCCGTGAGGCAGTTGGAGCCAGCAGTGCGTTTAGCGGTGGAACACGGAGAAGACCAACAGGGGGCAACACGTGACTGGAAGTTGGCAGGAGACCACGCTGCTCTCTAAAAGCGATGAGGCCGCATCTAAAGACCCTACACCCCTTAAGTCTGTACACCAGTGTTACCTCAATACAAATGATACCAAAGCGGGGAAAAGGAGATAAGGAGGCGGAGACAAGCAGATCGGATGGTAAAAGGCAGAGCGTGCACAACACTGTCCTCATTCTGCAAAAGCTGCAAGCCCATGTGTGCGCCTCCAGGAAGACCCAGAAGGGCCCGCGCTAAGCTATGAACAGTGGTCGCCCTGGACAGTGGGGCAGAACGTAACGAGGGCCTTCCATTTTTTGCCTTGATGTACTTTAAAATGGTTTGAATCTTAATATAAGCATGTATTGTTTTTACAATTTTGTAAAAAGGCAAAGAAAAATGAGAAGATAGCAAGTGCTTTTCCAGTAAAGACAAACTCTGTCCTTTGGGAATTTCCTTAAAAGTTCCTTGAAGCTCAGATGGCTGTGCCTCTCCCACTTACACGTAAGAAGTGATTTCTTAAAACCTCTCCCTCCTACGCCTTAGGAGAAACTGTAGCGTCACCACCGCCTGTGTTACAAAATCATTCGTAAGCTGAGGAAGATGATTAAAAAGACCCCTCCCCCCGGCCTGACAGCCACCGGAAGATGCCCATTCGTGGTCCGCACGCTTCCTGACATGATGCCCCAAGTGGTGGCCACACGGCTCCCACCAGCAGACAGAACGTCCCGTCAGCAGGGCTGGAGCACACCCGCAGCAAGCAGTGCGGGAGTCTGTGACTGCCCTAGGTCCTTCCACGCCTTCTCCCTGGCCCAAGCCCGCCGTCACAGGGTCGGGATGGACTGGATGTCATGGAGGCCCAGGCAGCATTAGCGGGATGTGGCGGAAACCACCAGAGACACAACCAAGGCCTACTTGGGGCTCTCAGCCAGCAGCAGCACAGTGGTAACAAGTGGGTAAAGACGGGCATGTTCTTTTCTTGGGAAGAGGCACAGGTTCAATGATACTGCCGTCTTACCAGACAAAATGCCCAAAACCCAGGTGTCAAAACACCCCATGTGGAGTGACCCTGATTTTAAAAAAGCGTGAGAGCTGGAGCCTGGATGACTGGGAAATTAAGGAGCCACTGGTCTTACAAAACTAACACGCGCACAAAGGGCCTGAGTCGCCCCCCGCCCCGTGCCCGAGAGTCAGGCCTCAGAAGGCCGGGCCCCTCGGCTTCTCAAAGGCGTCTGCCCTGCTCTCAAGCCTCAGAGCCAGCCTGCCTGGCTTCTTGGTGCCGTGACAGCTGCCAAGAGGCCCTCAGTCTTGGGGCCACACGCCAGGCGCCGCTCCGAGAACGCACCAGCACGCTCGCCACGGTCCACCAGGAAGTCATCTACCCAAAAGCAAAGCACACAGAGCCCGCGCTGAAGAGCACCAGGCGGCGGGTGGAGAGCTCAGTCACCTCACTCTCGGCTCAGCTGATCTGTTCAAGGTGAACTGAAGGCACAGATCACCAGTTCCGGCTCTAATCTGACCCCGCCCCCAGGTCTCGCTGCAGCTACCAAGTGACCCTACCCAAACTGACCTTTCAGGGCTCAGGGAAGTGACTTTTTTTTATTATATGGCACAGTTTGGCACAGTTATGTCTTTAGTCTTTGGGGCACTTTTATACTGTCCAAGAGTAGCAGCTCTTTTTTTTCGTTCTTTTTTTTTCTTTTTTAAAAACAGATGGCCAAACCAGGACATATACTAAAAAAAAAAAAAGGAAGGTTACTTACCTGAGCCCTAACATCCCAGCTACCATGGAATCCTGTTGGAGCTGGTCTACAGAAGCAAGATGTATTCTGGGGAGTCACATGTCACATCAAAGCAGGAACTGGTGAGTCTGTATTTTTATGGAGCCTAAAACAAAGAAAATCGTAAGTTGAAAGCCCCCATTGTGCTGCGCGACCTTTCTCCCAGGGTATTCGGGACACTGCGGAGGTGCGCACACGGAGCGGCGCGAGGCCGGCCCCCAGCCTGCCTAGCTCCAAACAGCGAACCACAGCTGCTGGCGCGCAACACACGGCGCGAATACAAGGAAAACTCATGCGGGTCAGGGTCTGCGTGCTCACAGGGCTTGCCCCCTTTGAGGGGCTCCACCAAGCACCCCGTTAGTGCTGATCTCTGGCTGGTATTTCTTGCGCCATGTCATAGAGAAGTACTTGGGGAGACAACACATGTTCACGAGGACATGCAGCATCGGAAAGTCATCCCCAAGAGCACACACGATCCAGAGGCTGTCTGCCTTCTTTGCTAAGCAGCTGAAGTTGCAACGAGTGGCTGAAACATCACGTAAAAGCTACTTTGACCCTGAGAGGGAAAAGGCAGCGATGGGAAGCAAGCGCCAAGGAGAGCCAAAGCCATCCTCGAAATATGAAAATCTGTCTCAAGCCATCACTCCGAAGCCTGTCAGCTGAGCAAACTGCAATGTTCAGAGCTATTAGTTGGGTAGTTTCCTCTGTGCTTTTGAACACATGTTCAACAAGGAACTTTCGCGTTACATTCTCATTATCACGATAGCCATCACTTTCTTGTTAAAGCCTAAACTGCCCCCAAATCAGCTAGTCTCTGACACCTTGCTGGCTCAAGAGTAGTGCTTTTATCTTTACACGAGAAAAAGCCTCACGTGTACAACTTAAAGAGACTAATCACGCCATTACTCATGCAGTCAAACACAGCCAGGGCAGCACCTCCCGAGTGCACGCGGCCAATGCCCGACCACCGCGGCGGTGCCTAGAATTACCTGCGCAGGCGCAGTGAGCTCTAATCCCTCCAACACTGAGCCATGGCACACTCTGAAATCGCAGAAGTCGAAGCAACAGTATTACTCAGTTAGCTGGGTCATAAAAATGGAACTGGTGTCCTGGCTGGGAGACCCTCAAGAAGCCACCACTACTCCCAGCCACAATTTCTTGTTTTACCTGAAACTGAAGCAACTGGATCTTCCAGCTATGAGTGTTTATGACCTTTGATTAACTCGAGTTTCGTTATTAAAAAAAAAAAAGAAGAAGAGCCAGCAAATGAGAGCAGTGAGGTGAAAACCCCCACAAAGCAGTGCTGTGTCGGCTCGTGTATAGGGCAGCCAGCTCTTAGGCAAAGACGATGAGGGAGCCCTTCCTCAGGGCTGCTGCGAGCCCAGACTTCTGAGCGACTGCCAAACAGCTGCTCTCAGGCTGAGGACTCGCTCGTGCCGGCAGACCTAACTGCCCCAACGGCTCAGAGCCCACGAAAGGTGACGAATGCCCATTAAGGCCCAGGCTTTATTTCTAACAGAACGGTCACACCCCCCCCCGATGCGGGAATGGAGCTGCCCCCTCCGCACACACCATACCTACCATCAGCGTGGTGGGCACATGTTTAAGCAACAGCATGCAAACCAAGCTTTCCTGAGGAAAAGGCTCCTGGCAAGACAAAGGCAGGAGCTCGCAGGTAAAGGCAGAAGAGCACAAGGTTTGGTACAGGAGCCCGAAGAGGAGGGACCTGTCACGTGTCCCACCCGAACGGAGTTAAAGGCACAGCTGTTGGACTGGAGAGGGCTGGCACAGAAGCACCGAGGACAAGGTCCTTCTGCTGGAGCAGAAACACGTTCTACCCAAGAGAAAAGTTTGTGTCTGTCGGCCACACGAGGCTGGTCTGGTCTGCACACGGCACGATCGCAGTGGGTGGTAAAACCGGCAGGCGTCCTGCCACTCTCCCGGGCGCTCGATGCCGGCTCAGGCCTGGGCTTTACCCACTGTGTGCGAAAGACACCAGTCAGAACAAACGTGCAGCGTTTCTGTGATTCTCTCTTCTTCACGGATAACTTAAGCAGCCTGCTGACTCGTGACACTGAGCAACCTAAGAGGCCCACTAATAATCACCTCTTTTTTCTCTGAAGATTAGATACCAGATCACATCCTTGATCGTGCAATAGTCCCCAGCAGGTATTTAGCTCGGAAAAGGACTTGACTTAGGAACTGCAAATCTTTATCCCAGCTTGCCCTGATTCTAGGTAAAGTCAGAGAGCCCTAGCTCCACAGAGGAGAAGAGAGGGTGTGAGGGAGCAGGTGGAGACAAGCTCAGGCTGGACTCACTCACAGAGCCAGCCTCTCTTTGAGACTCTACCCCCGCCCTCCCCCCCATACTAGGAGGGCCACACAGAGAAAGGGCGGGAGGGAGAAACAATGACTGGCTGAAAATTGCAAGCAGAATAATGCGAAATTGCATCCTCACACAGACACATGAACACACAAACAGCACACACGGGGAGGTGTGACAGGTCAGCACTAACAATAAAGACACACAAGGTTTCTTCACAAACCTCAGATGCCATCAGGCACGTTGCAGAGAAACTACTCTCTGGAAGGTGCCTGTGTTGAGAAGGGCTGGGGCATGACAGACAGCTGACTGGAGGGCACCAGAGGAGGAAAATGCACTGCCATCGGCTGAACAAAGCATCGTGTCACCTCACCCTGTCACATCTTGGCTCAGCTCTACAAACCTCGCAGTCTTCTTCAAGTGAGGCCAGTGTGTCTGTATGTGAGCTGAAATACCAAGAGACCAGCCTTTCTATCTGACACACGTGCACAGGCAATCTTGTGGCGATCTCTTCCATCAAGCAACCACACTTACACACCGATCGCGCCATTTAGGGTGTTGACGTGTTCAGATAAGAAAACAAAAGCAAGTGTTTCCTAGGCTTCCTGGCTAGTGTTTGAAGCAGAAGTCTTAAAAAAGCACATAAATCAGCCTATTTCCCTGACCCCCTGCTGCAAATTCCCATGAGATGTACAAAAATCCAGACCTTGTTTTGTTTTTTCCTAAAACAAGGATCCAGCATATCCAAAAAGACCCAAGGCGTCGGCTGATCTCATTGTTAACTGAAACTGCTGAGCTCCAGATGAAAATCCCAGCCACGAAGCCCCAATTTCTCCACCAGAGTAGAAATTGTCTAGCAGTGAATCGTCCCATCGAGGCCCAAATATGCTTCGTTCTACTGTGACAGAATGTCTACGACCTGGGAGGGTCCTAGCAAGCCTCTGCCACTTTGCATCACACCCGGCCACCGTGGCTCGAGCCAGCCATCATCCCCTGAGTTCCGCCCTACCTCTCAGTCTGGAGTACTGAGCCCACACAGCGAAGGCAACGGGATGGCTCTGCAGAGCCCACTGCTGTTCCTGGAAAAGGAGCCAGAAACACACATCTGCTTGACCAGGAGTCGGGAACGTCACTTTGGTGGTGGAGCTCATTTCTGCCGTGTCCAGCCCCAGCCCGAAGCCCCGCACTCGCAGCGCAGCCGCTAACCAGGTGCCCAGGGCTGGCCCTCAGGCCCCAGCGAGCGTCGGCGTCAGCACAGCACGGCCTCCTCTGCGAGCGCCTCTTCTCAGGCTCTTCGCAGTGACCTTAAGTCTTTCGCACAAGCCCAAGGGGCACTGCCACGCCAGAGAACAGTCACCTGAGTCTCAGGGCAGGGGGTTCAGTCATCACCAAACTAAAGAGAGAATCGACTTTCAGAGAGACAGGCCACAGCGAGGCCGGGCACTTGCCCCAGCTGGTCCCGCCGGTCCTGAGCGGGCTCCGGGGCTCGGAGAGCCCGGCACACATCGTGTCCCACTGCACTTATGTAACTGAAAGATCGCGGCGACGGGGGGGGGGGGGGGGGGGGGGGGGCGCTCAGATGGCGGGGCCGCGGCACCCCCCAAAGATCCCAGGGTGCCCTCCCCCCAAGAGCCTCGGGCGCCGCGGGACACGCAGCCCCTACCCACGGCTCCGATGGGAACTGTGACCGCCTCTTTGGGAAGAGTTGTGGGGCCTGGAGCACGACGTCTCTCCCCGCGGTGGGCGCGCACTGGTTCCCACCTCCGGGTTCCCGCAGACCGGGAAGGAGGTGGGGGCGCCTGGCTCGTCGGGGGCAGAGTCACGGAATGGGCGAGGTGGAGGGGGAGGCCCAGCCCCGAGATGGGGGTGAGCGCGCAGGAGCCCTTGTGGCGCACTCTCCCGACGGGAGGCCGACTGCGCACGCGCGCCGGTGGGGGGGGCCGAGTAACGGGAGAGGGGGCGCGCGAGGGAGGGAGGGGGAGCGCAAGCCAGGGAGAGGCCGGGGCCGCGGGCGCGCGACGG